CGTTGAACATCTGTGGGGTGAAATTGGAAGGCAATTACGACAACAATCAAACCAGCCTCAAAACGGTAGATGAGACTGAACAATCACTTGAATGAATATGGCTGCAGATTCCCAGGCACTTTATCCAATAACTTATCCTTTTCGTTTGTCGACTGTCTCAATCAGTCATCAATGCAGCAGACGGTCACAGGTGTTACTGATTTCAAGGAGGAAAATGGGTGGTACAAGTTTTGATTGGTATTTTATTTTCTTTAAATGGATACTTCAACGGAAATTGTCAATCCTCATAATTTCTTCTTTGATGTGTGCGTCCTCCAGAAAAGAAATGGATCTTTTAGCCAAAACTGTTTTGTGAGTATAATAGTCTCCTCCATACACACCCATACAAACTTTTTTTCCCGTGAGTATAATTATTATTCTCATAAAGCATGGTCAGGAAAGAAGTTAAATGTAGTTAGCAAACGATATAAAAATACAGAAAGTATTCTTGCTCCCTCTTCACATAAAGCCTCTCTTAATGAAAAACTGTAAATTGTGGGACAGAAATGGAGCCTTTTTCAATATCTCTGGGCATTTTTGAGGTGATAAAATAAACTGGAACAAGTATTTTTGTGGGCTCTGCAATGGGAGAGTTATTTGGGTGAATTTAGGTGTTTGGGTGATAAACTATATATACCAGGACCTTCATTTTGAGAAGCATTCTGTTTTCTTGTGGAAATTCTTTCTTTGAAAACCTGATGGTGATAATTATTCTGGTTTGATTAAAAAACTGTTAAAACATATTAACAGTTATAGTAGCTGGGCGCTCAAATGTCTTTAAAAAGTACATCTAGTCGTACACTGGCTTCTTGAATTGTCCCTTCCAATTTGAATATGTTAGGAATCACCTTAGTAAAATGTTTGACGAAGATATGAAGGGGATGGAAAAGATAGTTAAATAAATTCGGCGGCTATGGTAAAGCGGTTAGCTAATTCGCTATCGCACGCAAGAGACCCGAGTTCAATTTTCGAGAGGGGAAAACATATCGATTTTCTCGATCATTCTGCAGCAATGCTGAATCTCTCTCGGCCTGGGTTGGCCTTGTTAAGCAGGGTTAGAAGTTTACCACTAAATTATCTAAATTGAGTCGATGGACGCGTGAAAACACCTGCATCAAAATTTTGAAAAAAAACTACAGATATCAATCAAGATTGAACCTGAACATGTGGGGGGATTACTGTTGGTTTCTTTGACGTTAAATGGACACTTTACACAAGCAAAGAGCAAGAACCTTAAGCCTTTTGACATATTCCAATGGTGTGGATAAATTTTCACATTTTCTCACTTAAAAATGTCTAGAACAGTGATAAATTATGTAATGTAACTAAGGTTTACTTTTCTTCTTTTCAATGATTTTAATATTAATGTTAATTGAAGGAAAATGAGTACCCTGAATATCAGCTCAAATCTAACTGGAGGTCTTAAATCAACAACGCGCACTTACTTTAAAAAGGACAGTGTATTGCAAAATGGCAAAACAAAAAAAGTTGAAATGTGTTGACCAGTATTATTGTCTTCAATTTCGACCACCCATAATTTAACTATCCTCTCTTTTTCTTTCTCGTCTTCCCGTCTCCATGCATTTAAAAAAATCAACCGTCTCTTCTTTCCTCCCTTTTTCGTGTTTTTGTTTTTTAATCTTTACTTCTTTTACCTCTTTCCCCATCATCCGATTTTTTTTCCATTTTATTTTGAGGACAAGTATAATTTTTTGGTCAATCTTTTGACTTGTTTTCCTTTGCTAAAAAGGGACAGGTGATAAAACTTTGACCATCACCTGAAAGATCTGAAAGAGGTCCGCAACAACTTACTCTGTGTCAAGGCAGTTGATGAAAGTCAACAAACAAGCAAAAAACAAACAAACAAACGAAAGCAACAAAAACAACAACAGAAAAAAAACAGAGCCCCCCCCCAAAAAGAAATAAAATAAAACAATAACCTATTCGCCCTTTAATTCATTTAGTGTCCCATCCTCCCAGTATTTTCTGTTCGCTCCAGCCCTCTCAGGAGCAATAATGCCTCGTAATTCTCCCCTTTCCTCTTTTCTAACTTCTCTTTTCCCTTTTTTATTTCCTCCCCGCCACCCCCAATCCTTCCAATCAACAACCTCTTCCACTTCCTCCCCTCTTTAATTACACCTCCACC